TTTTAGACTTTTACTTTACAAGCAGTCTGAGTCTTATGTGGTATTTTTATTTAACTATGGTCATCTAGTCTGTCCTCCTGTGTAACACAGCCCATAGATCTTCCCCAAAATAATTCCTAGAGCAGATCTTTCAGAAAAACATACCCTCTTGATTTTAAAATTTCTAGTGATGGAAAATCCACCACAGCCCTTGTTAAGTTACTCCAGTGATTAACTACTCTCAGTGTTAATAATTTACACCTTGTTTCCAGACTTAATTTGTCTAGCTTCAACTTCCAGCCATTGGATTGTGTTATACCTTTCTCTGCTAGATTGAAGAGCCCATTAATAAATATTTGTTCCCCATGTAGGTACTTTATATATTGTATTCAACCTTAACCTTTTCTTAGGCTTTGTCTACACTAGCACTAGTTTTGGCAAAACTTTTGTAGGTCAGGGAGCCCCCTCCCCCCACAACTGACATAAGTTTCACTGACAAAAGCATGGGTGTGAACAGCGCTATGGCAGTGGGAGATGCTCTCCTGCCAACATAGCTACCGCCGCTCATTGCAGGTGGTTTAATTATGCTGGTGGAAGAGCTCTCTCCCGTCGGCATAGAGCGGATACATGGGAGACCTTATGGCAGTGCAGCTGCAGCGGTACAGCTGTGCCACTGTAAGGTCTGTAGTGTAGACATCGCCTTAGTTAAGATGAATAGATCTGAGCTCCGGGAGTACAAGTATAAAGCATGGTTTTCTAATCCTTTAATCATTCTCATGGCTCTTCTCTGAACCCTCTCCCATTTATCAACATCCTCCTTGAATTGTGGGCACCAGAACTGGACACAGTATTCCAGCAGCAGTCACACCAGTGCCAATTACAGAGGTAAAACAACCTCTCTACTCCTGCTCAAGCTTCTCCTGTTTATGCATCCAAGGATCACATTAGCCCTTTTGACCATAACATCTCACTGGGGGCTCACATTCAGATGATTATTCACCATGACCCCCAAATCTTTTTCAATGTCACTGCTTCTGAGGATCGAGTCCCCCATCTTGTAAGTATGGCTTACATTCTTTGTTCTGAGGTGTGTACATTTACATTTGACTACATTGAAATGCATATTGTTTGCGTGCACCCAGCCTACCAAGCAATCCAGATTGCTCTGTATGAGTAACCTGTCCTCTTCATCAGTCACCACTCCCTCAATTTTTGTGTCACCTGCAGACTTTATCAGTGATTAATTTTATGTTTTCTTCCAAGTCATTAATAAAAATGTTAAATATCATAGGGCCAAGAACCAATCCCTGCGGGACCTGACTAGAAACACACCCATTTGCTGATGATTCCCTGTTTACAATTACATTTTGAGACCTCTGAATTAGCCAGCTTTTAATCATTTAATGTGCACCATATTAAAAATAGCTGACCCAGAGAGTATTTTCTTTACAATTTGTGGGGAGAACTCAGAATGAACTGAGGAGAAAATTGGAAATGGGAGTGTTCAGCAGGCAATAAGAACCACTAGCCAGAGGGTGCAAACATTTGGGGCTAAGGGAGGCTGCAGGAATTGGGAGCATGAAGATTCTAAAACCAGACTGTGAGCCTGTTTCTCTTCTCACTGGCACTGGATAAATCAGGAATAACTGTAGCTCATTAATTGTGTTACACTTCTGTAAAACTGATATAAGCGAGGGGAAGGATCAGGCGCTGTGCTTATACAAGGAACTGAGGAAATTCTTAAGTATCTGGGAAACTGGAACTGCATGGACTGTGTTGTATACTGGCTTGAGTTCAGACAATCAAGAGTTGAGTCTTCCCTGAAACTCACAATGGAGTTGTAACTATATATGCATCAGCCAGGGGAGTTTGCATTATTTATGCACAGGAGACTGATGAATTCCAAGATAAAATGTCTTGATCTGGAACTCAGTTACATAACTTTTTAAAAATGTGTTTTCAACCCATTACCAACAACTGACGTTGAAGATCAAGATGCATAGTTTCTTATGGACATTTGCTTTTATTTCTGGTGTGCTTTCCTGGAAAATCATAAACCTGTAGAGATATAGCTGACAAAATGGTAAAGAACTACATATTTAGTTTTGGCAGTAAGTCAGACAGACATCTAGGCAGTTCCCTTCCGTTCAAGATGATAACTCAGAGACGTGTTTATTATGTCTCCAGGAATCCCTGTTATTTTAGGATCCTTTCCAGACTACAACCAGTGCTAACTCGTCAATATTTGGAGATTCTTGTCTCTGCTTTGGTTTCCTATCTGGCCTGGAGTACTCAATTGCTGGCCTCCTTTCAACCTTTCCAGTTCATTTCCTGCTTCCATGCAATTTCTTGGGGAGGGCTGTGAGGCAGTCTAAACATTCGGTCTAAAATCTTCATCAGTCCTGGTGGGTCTATGCTGGGTTAACTAATTTTTGAAGTGTATTAATCTGCACACAGCTTCTTGTGGAACCTAGTTATCTTGGCAGTGTGGTGAATCCTTAAATACAGGGCTGATCTCTATGCTCAGCCTCACTTTGACTCTTGAAAATAGCTTGAAGTCCAGTCTTGCAGTGTTCAGAGCTCCCCTTAAGAGGTGATGAGCGCCTTCAGTTCCACCTGAGGAGGCACCTGCAGAATGGGGCCCCATCCTCTCTTACACAGAAGTAATGGATTCTGCTTCCTTGGATTCCCTGTGATGTTCCTTGCCTCTGTCCTGCTACCAGGCCCCCTTCCTAGTTCCTTCTGACTTCTGGAGAGCATGTTTTCTGTAGGAGCCTTGTTTCCAGTTGCTCTCACAGTAGCTGCTTCCTGAGCCCCCCTAAAAGGGGAGGTTTGACAGTGAGGGAAGGCAGGTTAATACAGCTACTTCCATTGCAACTTTGGGAAGGAGAGAATTTGGAAAGACATCTCTAGGTCTGCAGAGCCCCCAGGGAGGGATTCCCATTGTTCATGGATTAGAGTATGGAGTCTTAACGCTTTTGTAGTTCTATATTCCTTTGTGCTTCTTTTAATAGGTAGTACAATCATTGGCTCCACTCAACAGATAAAAATCCAATAGTGGGCTGGGTAAGAATGTAGCATTTTTGAGAAACTGGGCCATATTCTGCTCCAATTCACATCAGTGTAAATCCAGAGTAACTTCATTGACTTCACTGGCATTACTGTGGATTTACACCAGTACATCTGAGAGCAAGATCCAACCCACTAGATCTACAGTGTAAGGAGCACCATTCAGCCCACAGGAGTTGTAACTCCTACCTAACTTGATTAGCTAGCAAAATAGTTACTGTTCCATGAGTACACCCAGTGCCATATAAGCCAGAGGCTTCCCTCAGGCAGTGAACATATGAGCTTAGTTGGAATAGATTTTGTTCTCTTTTGACACTTGATTGGGAAATCAGTTACTTCTGTGGGGGAGAAAAAGTGCTTGTATTGGACAGATGGTATTCCCCTTCTGAAAGACGCAGAGTCTCTAACTAGCTAAGAAACTCAGACAAGGACAGGGCTCCTGGAAGCCATTCTTTTGTCACCACCCAGTGGAATGATTCAATTTGGGACCGAATGCAACAACCGCCAAAAAAAAGGGGGGGGTGAGGTGGGGGGAAATCTGGGGCAGCCCTTCTCACAAGCATGATGGGCCACCATGACTGTATCACCTGTGCTTTGTGAAACCCGCTTGGTTTCAGAAAAGAATTCAAAGGCCGGGCCTTAACCTGCAAAGGCCCTAATGGATTGGGACGGACTATCTCAGAGACTACTCTGTAGGCCAGCTACCCTGTAGGCCAGCTATGCATCACTACCCTGTAGGCCACTACCTTATCGTCCACTACCCTGCCGGCCAACTATGCATCACTAGAACATTACAGCTGGGGGGACAGCTGTTTCCATTGGGATATTTTTAAAATGGCTTTTTATACAGTTTGTTTTTACGAAGTCCAAATTTTGAACAAGCATATGTAGTGTTTCTCCTAAAATTAAGTTGTGTGCGCAATGTCATGGGAAATCAACAGACGGCACTATTATAAATAGTGTTATAAATGTTGCCTATTTGATTATATAGCAGTTAGGGCTTGAATAAAATGCTTGCTGCCAGCTGTGGTGCAGTTCATGCTGAAAGATGTACATACCACCATAAAGTTTGTTCTGCCTTTTTTTCTTTCTAAGAATCCTTGTAAGGGACTATCTCCTGCCTGCAGGTTGTACCCAGGCAAGCAAACAAAATATTTCATGGTGCCAAAACGTTACAGTGTGTGTTTATACTTTTGAATACAATTTATAAACAGTTCTGCTAATATTTCATCTATTTTCCCTGTGTTTTTCTTCTCTAAATCGTTATTACTGGTGAATAAACAGAATGGGAAAAGACATATTTGGTGCACTTAAGCACAAGATGAGGTGAGGAGTGAGGTGAGGAGTGGACTCAAGTGTGAGGGACTAGTTGCCCCGTTTCTGTGATGTGCTGAACTGTTAGCTCTGTCGCTAAACTGAAGGGATTGTGGGGGAGACTTCCTCCTTTTGGGGATTGATCCCCTTCTCCCATCCCTGCTAACTCACCCCTGCCAGAGATGTCAGCCCTATGTCTCATAAAAAGATCACCTTTCTGTACCCTCACCCCCCCTTCAACGGACACAAGCTGAACACGGTGCTGTAGTAGCTTGAGGGAACAAAGCAGAAGCATTTCTCGCAAAGTGCAGTTTAATATGCATTTATTTGCCAGATGGTGCTGCCTTCCCTCCTTGGCTATGGCTTTGAGAAAGCATTTTGTTTAAACGATAAACAAATGAATGGATCCCCATAGCACCACCTCTCTCCAAACACATGCAACTGCCATTCCTGGGATACAAGGCTTATTGCAGGCTACGTAAGGACTGTGTGTGTGTGTGTGTGTGTGTGTGCACACACATACTTGCACCTCATTAATATATTGTCAGCATCTAACTGCCCCCTGCAAATGAAAACCCCTATCAGATAGGCTGATATGGTTTCTCTTGTGACAATGAGTTTTCTTTCTTCCTCTTTAGCTTGCAAGGCACTGGTCGATGAGCTACTGTATGACATTAGGAAGGTGAATCCGAAGAGGACCACTGACATAGGGTCATTCCGAATAAGCCCTGACAGGACACAAGAGAGGACTAGGGTAACAGGAAAATGATCTGACAGTACATAATTGCTGATATGTGCAATTACCAACCACTTATCCAAACAGCAGTTGGTCTTAATCTTCCAACCTTTCTCTTGCTAAGGGTATCAGACACTAAATTGCTTCTGTTTCCTTTGAGACCCAAAGTAATCTTTAGGCTTCAAATTGAGGTATTTTCTTCTTTTCAATACCTACATTTTTGGCTTTTTAATGTTTCGAGCAGTATTATTCCACTATTAATCTTGACAAAAATAAATCAGTGCTACACATGCTATTAAAAGAGAGAGAGAGAGAGAGAGAGAGAATATATATATATATATATATATATATCCTGTCTAGAGACTGACATCTATCTAATCAGCTTTTGTACTCTGTATCTGAAGTGAATCTATTCCCTTCCTTAGAGCCTGTTTGAAGGTACTGAGTGACTTCAACTCCCATTGACTGCAGTGGAAGTTAAGGATTCTGAATGCTTTGCCAGACCAGGCCCTTAAAATCCACACCCTTAAGCAGCATTGTTAAGCCAACCTAATTCTCTGTGTAGACTATTTCACTAGGAGGGTGGTGAAGCACTGGAATGCGTTACCTAGGGAGGTGGTGGAATCTCCTTCCTTAGAGGTTTTTAAGGCCTGGCTTGACAAAGCCCTGGCTGGGATGATTTAGTTGGTGCTGGTCCTGCTTTGAGCAGGAGATGGGACTAGATGACCTCCTGAGGTCTCTTCCAACCCTAATATTCTATGATTATATGATTCTAGACAGTGCTAGGGCAATGGAAGAATTCTTCTGCCGACCTAGCTATCCCTAATCAACCTCAAGGAGGTGGATTAACTGTGCAGATGGGAGTACACTTCCCATCAGCAGAGGTAGGGTCTACGCTGAAGCGTAACAGCAGTATAACTGCAGTGGTGTAGCTGTGCCACTGTGGCATTTTAAGTGTAGACGAGACCTTAGACTGTAAGGTTTTAGGGCTAGGACCATGTCTTCCTGCAGTGGGGAGCGTACTGGGTGGCACTGGATAAATAATAGAAAATAGCATAATTGAAAAGCCCTTGGGAATGTTCAGCCAGTCGAATCATTCAGTGAATATCCTAGGATGAGTTTTCAGAAGAGAGTGGTTTTCTTACAGAATGGCCCTGTTGTAAAGATGAAGGCTTGCTGATCACTTATGTCAGTGCCCACTCCTGATGATGCTTCTCAGAGCTGGCCTTATTATATGTAAGCCCCCAAGCTGCCAGTCTGAGGGATCAGGGAATTAATTGTGTTCCCCTCCCGTTCTGCTGCTGGAGGAGAAGACTGAGCTGGCCTATGACTTGTCCAGTCATCTTAGGATTGAATGGGTATGAAGCTTTCTAGACAGGGCCCCAGAGATCACATACATTGCTGAAGATGAGAGCTGATTCTGATCACAATGCAACTCCAATAACTTCATTTATATTATAGTAGTGCTTAGAAGCCTCAACTCTAACTCAGGGCCCCACTGTGGTAGGCATGGTACAAACACATAGTGAGAGAGATTTCCTGCCCCAAAGAGCTTACAAGCTAAACAGACAAGACATACTCACAATAGGAGTGGAAACAGAGGTGAAGAGTTTTGTCCAAGGTCACAAGCAGAGCTAAGACTAGAACCTGGGCTTCCTGGGTCCAAGTCCACCACCCTATCCACTGGACCATGTTGCCTCTTGCATTTCAATTCAGTTTTACACCAGTGTACCCAATATCAGAATCACCCACTAATACTAACCCTGCTGCATCTTTAGAGTAACTTTTTGTGTCTTCTCCTTTGAGCGAGAAGATCTGCTTATATGACACTTCAAAGTATAAGAGATGTCATTAGTTGCATGTCTTTTTACATAACATAAAATAGACGACTGTTCTAGGAACACAGATCAATGGATGAGCTAAGCAGATCTGACTGTAGCTTACATTGCCGTGTTTACTCATTAGTAGCAATCTTAAAGTGAGTGAGTGATTTATTTCCCCTCCCTTAATATTAAAAGTCCAAGTATCTTTAATAAAATCCATGTTCTCAATCCCTACTCTCTAATGTAACAGAAAGGTTCATTAACCCATCTTTCATCATTTGTTTAAACATTATTTTATGACATTGATTTCTTCAGAAGTAAACAAACATTCGCTTGCCGTGCCCGTCAACTAATCTCAAAACTGAATGTAGTTTGCTCTTCATAAACAATGTTTCCCCTAACCCCAGCCTGTAGACAGCTTGCTATTGTTTCAATACCTTCTGGAGGAAAACAGATGAGTGTAGCCTATAGCATCATAACTTTTGGATACCGGAGGAGGAAATGCTTTCCAAGGACAGATATATTACATGGTTTTGTAGCAGAATTAGTTTTTGATACTGGCTGGGATCTTCAAAGGGGGCATAAAGGAGTTAGGTACCCAAATTCCATTGACTATTTGTGAGAGTTGGGTGCCAGCCCCTTTAGCCCCCTTTGAGGACCCCAGCCAGAAGCTTTACAGAAGTATATCCATTTTAGTGTAATTAGTGTAGTGCATATGACAATTAGTCAATGGCAAATGGAGCCATAATATTTATACTTCAGTATGAATTGACCCAAGATAACATTTTCAAAAGTGTCTAAGTCCCATTTTCAAAAGAGGAACTGAGGAGCCAAAGGGCTTTCTCTAAACAGCAGGTTAGTGCGCGGCCAGCCAGGGTGTGAATCTACAACGCACTAGCTCACCATGTGGACCCTTCCTCCATGCACTGTAAGTTCCATTGCACATTTTAATGTACTCCCGTTTCAAACAGCAGTACGTCAGAGCACACTGTGGCATTTACAGTGTGCAGTAGCAGGTCTGGGTGGCCAGTTAGGCCTGGCCTACGCTAAAAAGATAGGTTGACCCAGCTACGTCCCTGAGCGACATAGTTAAGCTGACCTGGCCCCCTGTGTAGACATGCTAGGTCGATGGATGAGTTCTTCCGTCAATCTAGCTACTGCCTCTTGGGGAGGTGACTTGCCTACACCAATGGAAGAAGCCGTCCGATCAGCATAGGTAGTGTCTACGGTGAAGTGCTAGAGCAGCTCAGCTGCAGCACTATAGCTGTGCCACTGCAGTGTTTCAAGTGTAGACAAGCCCTCAGTGTCTGGCAAGTTCGTGCGCTGCAGGTTCACTCCCTGGCTTGTCACACACTAACTCACCATGTAGACAGACTGTAGTCTGAAAGTCAGTCGGGCTAAGGAGCCTAACTGATTGTCGTGTCTGACCACAGCTGATCAAAAAAGGAGATTTTCACAAACATTTTCTCCCATTTTTATCTCAAAAATGTAATAGTTTGAGAAAAACATTGACATTTTGAATTTAGAAAAGTTTAAACCAGCTCGCTGCAGAGCTGGATTTTAAATATAAAATACAGACTGGGGCTGATAGGTCTTTCTTCACGCATGACAGAGTACGTGTTAGTGTTAGGCCCGGTGTGCGTGCACACAGAAAACACACCCATTTAACTAAATCGGGTTTTAAATTAATTTAGCTTTAAAGTGATACAACTCCCTCGTGTGGACCCTTTTAAATTGGTTTAAGAGTGTCTAGCCTAGGGAGTTGCATCACATTTCACTTAAATTCATTTAAGAGTGGCTGAAATCTATTTAGCTTAATTCAGTTGCTGATTTTGAAACTGATTTAATTAAAATGGTGTAATTTCTTTATATAGACCATCCCTTACTTGGGTGAATAAAAGAATCTGCCAAATCTCAGTCAGTCTTTGGAAATTCTTCCCCTCACCCCCCTTTTACTTAGTTCTGAGTTCTGGAACAGTGTCATTTCACCAAACCACACAAAGACAGGACTGTGATTTTGTTTGTCTGTTCTGGTTAAAATGCAATTAGCTGTCTTTCTCCTTGGTTTGTTCTATATGTTGTATATTATCCCACACTAAAGGGGATTTTGCTGTTGATATCAAGTGTGTAGTTACGTCTAGTAATTTAGACATAAGAAATTCCAGTCTTTACATAGTCATTCAAATTTATGTTTGATTTACATTGATTTATAACTTAATTTGGATTGACTTCAGATCTAAATTGTGAAGAAAGCCTGGGAAATTAGGAGTGGCAGTATGAGAGCAGACCATTTACTCTTGTAATCTTACCTTTGGCAGTGGTTTATATATCTGATGCTTGAGAGGAAGACAAAAGTAATGCATTCTGCCAAATATGCATTGTCCTGTATATGTGTCAGGTAAGTAGGTGGAGAATTCCTTCTCTGTGCCAGAAGACAATCACAGCGTATACACTGAAACATGAGCAGAGATATCTCTTGTAGGTATATACATTTCAGTACCAATATTGCTAGGTTAAAATATTAAATTCGTGATAGAAATTGTATCACCAGATCCAGATGATGCCAAAGAGACTAGACTGATAAATCAGACAGATGCATGCATCATTAAAGACTCTCTTTCTACAGAACATACTTATCCATTCATGGGACAGAAAGCATTCTCAATACTACATCTCCACATGTTGAAGAATTAGTCTACTCTGTAGTATATTAAAGTTGCCATTCACAGAAGGTCATCATCATGCCTGATATCCTGGTTTACTGTTACCAGACTCGGCTGCAGGTTGCCATGCCTTGCCACCACCTTCTTTTCCTCCCCCAGCTGCTTTCTATGGAGTGATAAGAGAGACAGCAGCAAAGATGTGGAAGAACCAGCAGGCAGTAATGTGCCTCTTGGCCTGCTACTTTTTTTTTCTAGCCACCCCACTCCCCCAAGCCTCCATTTTTTAAGGCAGAAGGTTCCATCTTGGATCTTCAGATCACTCTATCTCACAATGGAGTCTGCTATTACAAAGAACCACTCCATGCAGCACCAGCCAGGTTCAAAGTGGAGTTGGATGAGGTGTAATCGCTCTGATGGACCCTAAATGGCAACAAATAGATTATTCCATTGGCTGGTGCAAAGTCCATAATTTAACTACCATATTAAATGAATGAAATGTAACCTTGAGTTCCTCTAGAATGGCCTGTGTGGG